AATTAAAAATAACAATCAGTAAAATAAATAGCAAATAGAGATTTAATTATTAATATTGCATTGTTTACCAACCGTATACGTCCGATAATAAACAACTCTAATTCTTCAGCAGAATTATCATCATTATTTTATCAATATTTGCTATTATAATATTATATAGTCCTTTAACCGAGTATTTTTTTTGACATTCCTAAACTACCCGAATTTAAGCAACCTCCTAATTTTTCGACCTCCAAAATGTTGACGTAGGGGGTTGCTTATTATCGGCCATATACGGTATTCAATTAAATTTAAAATAAAGTAATTAATTTTTATGATAATATTTATGTAATCACCAGTGATTTATCTATTTTTAATTATGATTCATTAGAGAATAAGAAATTTTATAATCTCAGTACATAGTATAAATTGAGAATTAAGCTTGTTTTAAAGATATAATGTTGACTTTTGCTAAGCAATTAAAACTACATTGACGGAATTTATATAAATATTATAAATATACCACAGATTATTATGTCACAACCATAATATTAAGATACAAATTATCATGAGCAATAGATCGTGTTACTTATTATTAGAACAATTAGATGTTTAACTTGGTGCGACGCCAGTGACGACGTTTAGCGTTGTATCTAAGATTTTTGATTATTAGAGGATCAGAATATTTCTTTTTTTATATGGATAAAGTTCTCTTGACTCGTACCTGATTGTATTATCGGTACGGAATCGAATCCATTGAGGAATAGGTCGATTCTGTTTCGCCTTTTTACCAAGAATACGTTTAATTCGAAAAGTTTTATGAGAAGGCTAAAAATTTGAAATAAAGAGATTAAATTACAAGGAGCTCTTTTGCATTTTGTTTAAGTTTAAAACAGCAAACAAATTTTCACTCAATAAATTTTAAAGATTACTATCCGTCACATTCGCTGCAGAAAAAAACAGCAACTCACCATTATAAACACTGTTAATATATTACTTGTTTTTACTTTTCCAAGCGGCAAAAAAATTCAGTTAAATAAATTTCTCGCGCGTTATGATTGGTCGGTTGATCAATAAAGTATTATCGTAAATTAACTATGAGCTCTGCTGATCTTGTGTAAAAATATAACCGGAGCAACTGCTAAAATCATTTTTAGACAGGGTTTATAATAAAACTGTACCTAAACCTATTCAGTCTCCGCCCTGAATATGATATGGAACATGTTTTTAACTACCAGCATTATATCGGCTTGAAAAAGTTATTATTTTATCCACAGGAAAAATAGATCATGTGCTCATGTGAAATCGGGTAGCGATCATCTGATTCATCTGATCGACCTGTAGACGCGAACGCGCTTTTGATCATATAAACGTGTAGGTCAATTCTTTCTTCGCCAACAATCTAAGTTTTAAATATAATGAACACAAAAGACAGCGTAATACATAAATATTTCGAGCGAAAGCCCACAGATTGGAGTATTCGGGGGGTTCTTGGACGAATGCGAGGAGAAACAATTCAAACTAAAAATCGAAGCTTATTGCTTATCACTTGAAAACATCATTAAACAGGGAAAATTAAATAATAGACATGATAAAGCCCAGCTCTTGCTGGCTCGGTATAAGAAGGTATAGTGTAAAGTGGCGTGGTAGAAGATCTACGAGACTTTCTATCATTCAAGTCTACGAGACGAGCCACAAAGCCAGTGTGGGGCACAGAGCAAACTACGAGTTTCTTTGTGTTCAAATCTATGAGATGACCTAGCGCTGGCACCGCCGGTGCACCAAATAAACTACGAGTTACATTTGACGTTAAGTCTACGAGACAACCGGTGGATATTTATTTATCAAAGATGTTATAATTTTCACGTTTTTTTTTTCTCTTAGGGAAAGAAACCTGATTATAAAGAGGCAAGAGAATGGAGGAGAGAGAAGGAGGAGCGTAAATCTAAAGAAGTTGGCGGGCCTTCGATCCATTTCCATCAACCGACGTTTTCAGCTAATACCATTAATGGAATTAATAATACTGGAGCTTTCGATATTCATCTATTAAAAAAATCCAAGAAAGAAAGATCAGGAAGATGAAGAAGAGGACGAAGGGGTAGGTTCTTAAATCATGATTGTTTTGTAACTTCTTAGTTTCTTACTAACTCTTTTTCTTCGCTATTCAAGATTGACGACCCAGCAATACGTTATAATAGATTGATGGTGGGAATTGAAACTGCACGAGAAAATCAAACGGCCTGTTTGATGACGTAAGTACAAACTAATCTTTTTTGCATCCTTTTGAATCCTTCACTAACATGCATCCAAATTATAGCCCGCTGTGTTGGGGTGTCATAGATCTTAGAGCAGAGAATGTCTCTCCGTGCCCAAAACATCCTCGTGTGAAAGAATTTCTATCAGATACGGAAGTTCAAAAACTCCAACAAACGGCTATTGAAATTATAAATAAAGAATCACATTTGAGCCTATCTGCTAAAACACTTCTGGAGACGCTTCAATGTAGCACTTTCAGTCTCAAAAAACTCAGTAAGGAGAAGAGGGCTCGGGGGATTGAAGTTATTTGTTCCTTGCTTAAAATAGACGCGGAAATATATGACAAAGATACCCAGTACGTTGGAGAATGTATGGATGCCTTGTAAGTTCTTAATCATAGTCTTTAATTTTACTTGTCAGCATTCTTTTCATTAAGCCATGAATGTTATCATTGTAGTTATAGTTGGGTACATATATACGGTGGGACAACTAATATAGAACGAACTGTCGATATGCACCTAATTGGTCCGTTCTCAAAAACGCCTGGTGTTGAATATATATAGTAAGAAGCTATGTTCCTTGTTAATTCTATTCTACCAAGATAATTAACAATTCTTTATAGTGGAGAAAGTCATTCGGATGCCGACAGAGACGAGAAGTCTTCCCGGTCAGAATCAGGAGCAACTGGAAAGGCGTGTGATTTTATTTTCTGGGTAAGTTTTGTTTTGATTGGTGTTTGGTGCGAATGTGTTATATAAACTGATAGTAAATCTGTAGGGAAATGGGCACGAGATTGAGAACACCGGCCCCACTCGTAAGGACCATCATAAAAAAAGTGTCACCGATTTTGTAGATGTCATAAATGTTGCTCGATCGCAACATATTAGTTTCCAAACGCAGTGCATAGAAAAAAGTGGGCGCAATCCTCTTCCCTCAAATATTGAGAATGTATTGAAGTCTAGCGATTCCCTTTTTCCAAGTAATCGGGATGACAATCCGATTCTACATTCTAATACAAATCAATGGTGATTTGTATGGTTTGTGGGAATGGTCTTCGCAAGACCTACCAAGAAAGGATGATGACATTATAACTGCGATGGCGTTATGTAAAAATTCCTAATCCATCGAGTAAACAATTTTTTCTCTATCTGTTTTTTTTAATTGATTTTTTTTTTAACTTCTGACTGAGATATTTTGTAGAATCTTCAAAACAAAACATCCAATCTAACTCAAACGGCTGTTAGACTTTCGCAAGTTTTCAGAGAAAATGTAGAGAATATGCAATATGTTCATATTAACAAATCTGTCAAATTGAGTCCTATAGTGGCTCCAAAAGAAAAAAGAGGTTAACAATCATTTAATATATCTCTTAGTTTCTTGAATCTTTATATTTAATCATTATGATTTTTTTTTCTTGCAGTCTCTTCCAAGAAAAACGAGAAAAACACTTAAGACTACTCACGTGATGTGGCCATAGCATTTAATCGAAAAATATGTACTCTATGTACACTCGGTGGTCAAAAGTCTGCAATCGGGCAATGATCCGACGTAATTAAGGGATAGTTCAAACGTCTATTGTGCGACAAGGAAAGGTTCAATTACGACGTACATTACTTCATTAGAAAGCTGAAATCTCA